ATTATAAGACACTGGAAAAGATAACATTACTTTTCGACATTATCTAAACAAGTGATTGTTTGTTGGATTGAAATAAAACTTTTCACCAATAGATTAAATATCAGACTAAGATGGTCTGTGCGTACATTAGTCTATGTATAAAACAAGAACACCACCTGTCAAATGCTGTCTCAATCTCTTTTATGATTGCAATATTTCTTACATTTTTCTCGTCTTATTAGTTCTCTTCGTCCTGCACTAAAAAAAAAGGTAGAATAATAAACCCTTTAAGAGTGCATAAAAATCAAAGACTCTTTCATAAATCCTTTCAAGGGATTTATGAAACTTTAATATGAGCCAAAATTCATATCTTGAGTTGGATTAATCGTTGAACGAAATCTAAATAAAAAGAATTCATTTAATTTGATTCATATTTAGAGCTGCGTGAGTTGTTGGACCAAACATAAACTTTAAAAAAACGTATTCCACTGCATTTTAAAATTCAAAGTATCAGTTGGTCTAGCTAATAAACCAATTTAAAAGAAGAAGTCTTTATTTGAATTTTCTGTTGGCACTTAAAAGTGAACTGTAATTTAAAGAAAGTGCATCATCGATTGAGGTAGTGGTTTTCCTACGATGTAGTGGCATTTTAGAGTGAAGTCGTTGGTTGCCATAGGCTTTCGGAATACGAATACGAAAGGGTGTGGGTGTTGGTGTGGATGTTGGCTTTATTAGTATATTCATACCACACCCACACCCACAGTCCAGATATTGTGAATATGGTGTCAATGACAAAGATCTATTAAAATAGGAAGTATTGATTCAATTACGAAATCAATTAAAATCATCTAAACTCTTAGCATTTAATAATAATGCTTAAAAAATAAAATAAAACAAAAAAATACATTAGCTTTAGGTTAAAAAATTGTTGTCCTTTTTTTTCATCTTTAATCTGACGGTGACGTCCGAGAAAATGAATGTCGAAATATCAGGATTACTAAAAAACAAAAAAGAAATTTCACCATCATAAATACATTTAGCTGCATATACAATTTTACTTCATTATGTATTTAAATAAATGAATCTCGAATATTAGACTTAAATATGCCAACTGAAGAGATTTACTGGAAAATCAAATGACGTACTCACACACTTCTCCTAATGATGTTGACTATTTCTTATTGTAAAGTTTCTTAGAGTGTGAATGATGGACGCCTGACATCAATGAAATCAACTACTTTTTGACCAATCTAGCTAGATGAAAAAGTTCTAATACTCACTGAACAATTTGTTTCACGTTTTTCTCACAACCAATTTTCGAACAAAAACAAAACGGATGTTTTTCTCTTATTCTTTCGCGGAGCGCGTTTGATCAGGCATGAATTTCTTTATGAGTAACTTATTCAAATGAAAGTGCCAGTGTTATTATCTTTTTTAAAATGTTTCTACAAAATTCGGCAGCCTTAAGAAATTTCGTACCATCAGAAAAAACACGTTTTTCGTTAGGGTTTTCAATATTTTCTTTACGCCGAGCATTGGAGATGACATTTTTGAAAGCAAAAAACAATTACATTCTGATTTGACCGTCTTTTTCCATTAAACAAATTATAGCTCGAACAAATGTGACAGTGTTTTGTCAACGCAGGCGTCTTTTGACCATTTTCGTTCTTTGCTGCCCTGTGTCGTATGAAAGAAGGGTCTAAAAATTTTGAATCTGTAAAAACTTTTGTTCTATTCATTGAGATCTGTCTGTCTTAAAAATTCCATAATTTTGCGTCAAGTCGCTTCAGACAAACCCTCGAAAGTAGGAAGACCGCAGAAATTCATAAAGAAGACTTCAACCGACATTACAAACTTACTCATAATATAAAAATATAACGCTAGAAATTTATGATTCATCATCAAGCAATTAATATTATAAGGCTAGTTCCCCTCAAAACATACTGCGAGAGAAGACAAATTCAAAATTATGTGCTCTAAATTAGCTTACGTGGCTGATTGAAATCGTTGGCTTGTATATTAATCCGAACATATTGATGTAAAGAAAAAACAATTAATTCTTAGAGATCGTATCCATATCTAATGCTGTCTCGATCTAATAGTTTTAGTATATTTAATATATATTTAATGAGTTAACTATTCATCATGAAATAGAATTTTAATGATTTTATAATTTAAACTCTTGTGTTTCAAAATCATCAGGAAATATGCTGTTTTTAGGTGCCATTTCTTTATCTTCTCAGCTAGTTTCAAGTACCAACTATGTGCATGCTTTTGGATTGTTTTGTTTTAATTCATCCTGTTAGAGCTTTCTTCGTTCTATTGAATCCATAGAAAATTATTGTCGATCCACATGTTGTTCAATATGGTTTTTGAGCGACTGGTAAAAATATTCCAAGATTAATATATCGTTTTGTTTTAGCGTACATTAATATTGAACCCGAAATGTCATGTTCAACAAACAATTGGAGAAAGTAGTAATATACCCTAATTATATACTAAGAATAGGAAGAAACGAAAGAAATAAAATGAGTCTCTACTGAAACATCCCAAGTCTATCCGTCATAATTACTGAACGATCACTTTGACAAAGCTAAAAGTTCGGATGCTTATTTGTTTTACAGTCTTTCATTTTCAATGATAAAACGGTATATTAAAATTTTTCAAATGACAGTCTATAGTAAATATGCTCGATTTAGACATAGACTGACCTTTAAGAACATAGAGAAAAAAAATGTTTTATCTTATGCCTCTTCCAAATGTCTTCACGGTATATTTACAATTTTATTCATCTAATTCTTAATAAGCACTATTGCAAGGATACAAAATCTACAATTGAAGCAATTCGAGATGTGATCTAGTTATTTTTAAATTACAACCAAATCCTTTTTTCTTTATATTACACCATCAAGTAAAATAATGAGTAGGCGTGGTCTTTGTTATGATTGATTTATAGCATCAATATTTATACGTATATATCAATAACGCTACTTGTAAGACATAAACTATCAACGTGGTGTGCAAAAAGTCCATTGCAGTCACAAGGACAAAACCGATTAGTTTATGAAAGATATAAATATCAACACTAAGAATTTAAAAAACCATAACCACGCCACATCTCTAATTCTTTCAGTTTTGGAGAAGATTGGCGTAATGTTAACTTGTTCCTATCTCGAGAATTAGCACCCTTGCGACGATTTCTTGATAGAAGAAGTGTTAGCGCTGATGAAATGCGCTTTATTCTGTTTCTTTATATCATGAATCGCAAATTTTACATACATAGCACATGTTTATCTATATACAGCACACAGAGAGTCAGTGTCCAAAGATAAGACGGAACAAGCCAAGGGAGTAAGCTATATACAGAGAAAAAAGAACATATGGAGAGAAAAGAAATAAGTCTTAGGAAGAAGAGAACACATATCAAGTAGACGGGAAGGTACCTTGAAAGAAAGGAAGCTCATGCTATGAGGAAGATAGCGTGAATAATTGTGAGGTAGTGCAAATGTGACGATAGCGCCATAGCTCGCAATAAACTAGTTAAGAGCATACACAGTTATAATTTAAGCAAGCACAACAGATATGGTGATAAGACATGTCAAATGAAGGTCGAACAACTTATATGAATCGTCCAGATAAACGTCACTTAACCTTGAATAATTTCAGAAAATTAATCGATTAAGAATGTTACACTGATGTTCGAGCCTTCCCTCTCACAGCATCTTATTTATATAAGTCAGTTCTGTTCTAGGCGTATTAAGCTACTTGTCTATCGATGGTCTATACATTCTGCTGGTATACCAATCTGTTTTGATTCTGGAAGCTGTCGTACATGACTCATGCTGTCTTTGCTTATAGTTTTACGCGCTTTGTGTTCGTGCTTTGATTTAGTTGCTTTTCATTCTTTATGAAGGTGTAATCAGCACTATGTCTTTTTAGGCTCTATTATAGGTAGAGAGTTGAATAAACCTCAAACAAGCAATTCTTTCAATTTTAGATATTTTACTCTTGAAATAGTATTTATTAAAAATTAGATGAATGGGATTGTAAATATGCCGTGAAGACATTTGGAAGAGGTATAAGATGAAACATTTCTTTTTTCTTTATGTTCTTAAAGGTTAGTCCATGGCTGAATCGAGCATATTTACTATAGACTGTCATACGAAAAATTCTCATACATATTTTTTCATCATTAAAAATGAAAGATCATGTAAACAAAATTATAAATATAAAATATTAACTTTCTTAGAGTCATCGTTCAATAGTTATGAAGGCAAGATTGGGTATGTTTCAGTAGAACTCCATTTCATTTTTTCATTTCTTGGCATTGTCAAGTATATAATTATTTATTTTCTGTATATTAAGTAAATTGAAGCGAACAGTATTTCAAAAGATAGAAAAAGTTTCACTTTGCAAAACTATATACTAGGACTCCCTTCAATAGCTTACTTAACATGACGTTTCGGAGTCAATATTGGTGCACGCCGAAAATCAAGAAATTGACTTCTAGAGACATATATTTAACCTTTTCTTCATAATTATTGAACGATGACTCTGAGACAGTTAACATTTTGGATTCAATTTTTTTCAATAGGATCTTTCATTTCTAATGATGAATATGTATGAAAATTTTTCATGTGACAGTATATAGTGAATATGGTCGGTTCAGTGTAAGACTAACCTTTAATAACACAAAGAAAAAGAAATGTATAATCTCATACCTTTTTCAAATCTCTTCACGGCATATTTACAATCTTATCTAATTTATAACATATACTATTTGAAGAATAAAAGATCTGAAATTGAAAGAATTAGAGACATGAGGTAATTATTCTTGTTTTTTGACATTCTTAGTTTTGATATTTATATTGTTCACAAACTAATCGGCTTTGTCTTTGTGACTACAATGCACTTTCTGTACTCCATGTTGATAGTTTATATCTTTCAAATAGCATTATTTATATATACTGATGCTACGAAGCAATCATCTGAAAGGCAACGTCTACTCATTATTTCACTTGATGGTAGGATATAAAAGAAAAGAATTTGATCACAGTTTAAAACTAACTTATTTCGAAGGATTTCGTCATGATTATTTACGTGAACACTATTTACCTACATTGAATCGATTTCGTAATGAGGGTGTACGAGCAACACATGGAATGCGACCTGTATTTACTACATTGACGTATCCTAATCATATTTCAATCGCAACAGGTTTATCAGTAGATATATGAACATGAGTTATTTAGTAGTATCTCTCGTGTATGAAATTTAGGAATGTATCCAGAAGAACATGGTATTGTACATAATTCATTCTACAATCGATTATTAAAATTAACTATTGGACTGGGTATATTATATATTCCATTTGTTTGATCTGATATAAAATAACGTTAATTCACCTTTTACATTTTAGATAATCGTGATGATGGACAATGGTCTGATCCAAAAGTAGAACCTATATAGATTACTGCGACAAAACAAGTATTTATTTAAGATTAAAATATATATCGACCAGTTTCGCATTACAATGTTTAGAAAATAAAATCTGCAGTTCTTTTCTGGCCAGCATGTCATAATGAGTTTTATGGCGTGCGTTCACTTATCTATAGTTGGTTGTACACTGATAATGTATCATTTCGTGAAAAAATTGACAATGCTATAGGTCACTTTCGTGAATTACCAGTTCAATTCGTTATGTTATACCATTTGTATAGTTCATAAATAAATTTTATTCTGTTGAAAATAATTATTTTCTCTTTAAGTGAACCAGATAAGCAAGGACATACATATGGTCCAGATTCGCCAGAATTATACAATACGGTAAGTAGAAACTTACTGAAAATAGATATATTTAGATTTTTTCTTCTCTAATTAGTTACTTCGTCTTGATTTTGATATAGAATATTTATTGGATAAAACAAAGAAAGAACTCAACGATGATTTAAATATTATTATACTCTCCGATCATGTATGTAAAAGATAATTTAGAAANTTATTCAAATAAAGAAATATTTTCTTGGGCTTATCCTTTTTTCTTTACTTCGGGCTCAACTGTCGGGAGCTCATCTGTCGGGAGCTCATCTGTCGGTGGGCTCAACTGTCGGTGGGCTCAACTGTCGGGGGCTCAACTGTCGGGGCTCAACTGTCGGGGCTCAACTGTCCGGAGCTCAACTGTCGCGTCACCGTACTTCAGAGTTCATGCATATTGTACAGATTCTAATGCAGCTTTCCATGCTCAATCTGAATACATTATCAGACTTAGAATTTAAGCAAATACTAAGGTGTTATTAGTTTCATTTTTTTATGCAAAATAATCATAAGGGAAAAATATATGCTTCTATTATTTCACTTATATGTTCATGAAAATATAGTTGAATATTCAATAATTTAGAACCAAAATACTCAGCGTTAAAAGCTCTACAAGTCCTGAACATTTTAAGAAATTTGGATATATTTATTAAAGCAAAATAATTAGATTTGCCTGATAAATTTAAGAAAATTGACTAAAAAATTGTCATCGAAAACAGTTTTGACGCTCGTTCATTCCAAAATTAGAGTCGGGAAGAAGACTAACTAGTACATCTTGTAGAGCAAACTTCGCTCTATCGAACTGCTAGTGCCACTATTTCTATGAATTCTGACTTTCTGATCGAATTTTTCAAACACTACACATCTGTTTAGCGACCTAGTGGACCGTATAAAAGTGGTCAAAATTGTTTCAATTCCTACGGAGTCTAATGCAGTTTTTCACGAGCAATCTGAATATGTGGTTGGTTTTAAAATTCGAGTAAAAAAAGTGGGACTTTCATCGCTATTTCGGAAAAAATTCATTTTTTTTGTTGAAAAAACTGAAAGTGCATTTTTTGTATTTTACCTATATCTTTGCGAAAACAAAGTTTATTTTAAAAACGTTTATTGCCAAAATGATCAGCGAAAACTTCTCTACAAACCGTGAAAGTTTCAACAAATTTGGACGTGGTCGCCGGATCGACTGGCGATTTCCGATGGAATGACCCATTATTTTTGCGCTGCATATCATGAATAATATTGACGAATGTATCTCTATATATTCAGGTAATCTGATGCATTATTCTTGATATAGAGCTACAGTTTTATTTTTTGTAATGATTTTTTTGTAAGTTAGATTTTGTTGAAAGAAGTGTAGAATGTATTGATACTATTTGTACTGTTTGAATCGTCGGTTTCCATCCACTTTTCCGCTCATAATATGGGGGCGGAAGAATAGATAAGTTTCAATTTGATATTTTTGTTTGTGAATTCAGTTTAAGTATCACTTTACAGGATCTTAGTTAGATGCATACAATTATTAGTTCTCATAGATCGGTTGTGATTTAGAGATGCTCAGGAATAGTTTATGAATATTCGTCGAATCTTATTTTTCTAATCATTGTTTGTTCTACTTTTAGGTACTGATGTTCAGCATTTGCTGTTGATTCATGCGACTTTCATTATTGGGCTGAACGTTTTATCGTTTAGGCGAGTTGTTTCTTTGTTTTGATGAGATTAATATTATGTAGCTCGTGTAGAGAATTACTTTTTTCACATAAAGCCTGCCACACATTGAATTGAGAGTGACTATTTTTATATCTCGTTGGGCGTTTGTGTACGATATTATTAAAAGCGTCCGAAGTGGGCAGTTCCATTCTTGTAATTGCTTATGCATTTTGCATTTAGGTTTTGTTGCGAAACGTCTGCAAAGTAAATCCATAATTTTTTAAGTGAAAGTGCTTTTGCTGTTGGGACCGAATTCAAGAACATGGTGGATATTGGATGTCAATTGAAGTGAGGAACGTTTTGGTGTCAGTTTCGGGCTGAAGAGGTGAGTAGATCAGATTTATGATAACCGAGTACCGCTGACTCGGAACAGTAAGGATTGAAATGTTGTTGAAAATTCAAACGTTTAATGGTTTTCAAGGTTTTATAAAAGCTTTGATGAGTAGAATAAGATTACGAAAAAGGCCATATAAAAATCTTACGGAGCGATTCCACCAGATTTACCAGTTTCCGGTTTGGAACATTTAACCATAGAATATCTCATAAACTCCTCATAAACTTTTGTGTTCTAATAAAAGATCATGCAGTAAGTTCTGATGGGATCATCAAGAAACCCTTAGAGGTTGCGTCGTCAGATTAATTAACTTCCAGGATCGTGGAAAATTCATTTCTAACAGCTGATTAAAATTCTTGCTTCAATTTGCTTACTTTTCTTCTCATTTTATCATTATCGTCGTCTTTCAGCAGCTGATTCCAGATATTGATCCATATAATTTTTTTTCAATGTACTTAAATTTCTTTATTTGCTATCTTCTTGTCGGATTTAAATTAACCAATAGAACCATTTTCAGCTTTCCTACTTTGACTCCTTTATTCATTGGCTAGGATCCGATTGTTCAGATTACCAAGTGGTAGTCCCGTTTATGATGAGGCTTCAAACGTAGAGCTAATATCCGATAAGTGTTTTTCAGCATTCCATAACCCTAACACCCTCTAGTTACCGACTATGAATGGCACTATATGAGGAATTTGTGATTCACACAACAATGAAAATTATTAATTGTCTTTGCATGTCTTCCAGATGCGTCAGTTTACCATTGATAATGGTGAGAGACTCCTCTATTTAGTCATTCTAGATATCAGCGCGACGAATTATTTTTGGGCCCGGTCCCGTCTCAGTCCTGCTCAGAAAAGAAATTTTTGTCCCGGTCCCAGTCCCGGTCCTGGTCAAAATCCCGGTTCAAAATATCCAATTGGATCTCATCCCAATGAAAAAACTTTGATTTAGATCCCCAACAAAAAAGAATTGGTTCCGGTCACAAAACAATTTATGTCGGTCCGGGCGACAACAAAAAATGTGGGTCCTGCTCCCGGTCCCTGTCAAAAGAGAAAAATTGATCCCGGTCCTGGTCTCACCACAACCGAGACCGCGATCATGTTGCACATATATAACTCATTCATCAAGCCGTCGAAGTAGTTGATGCTACCTTTTGAATCGCTCCGTATGTCTTGCCATAAACCTTAAATACGATAATTGAAATCAATAATTCCAGTAGTATACCTTACCATAAACTCTAGGGACAGTAGATGAGGTCAATAATTCCCATCATAAACCTTCTTATAAACCCTATTGACCGTTGACAATATTCACGAGTCCTTCCAAATGAGCATTCCAAATGCTGGTCGCGTGTATACTATTTTGGTCAACTCTTTTATTAGGAGTTTCAGAGAGTATATAAGGCTTATGATTATCAAGAATCTTTACCAGGGCGTTTATGAAAGTACAACGCATAGCAACGGTGTGAGTGTGATTGGGTGCGACTTTTGTCTTTGCTTTGCTCATACGCGATCCCACACCCATCCTTTCGCACCACCGACATGGAGAGAGTTCTGATGTAAGTCCTTTTCTGGAATCCACTTTGAGGGAGATACGATATAAGCTCATTCGTTCGGAAAAATGGAGGGCGATGTAGTGTGAGACCTTTCATGGCACCCACCAGGAAGGATTTGCGGTGTGAATTCTTTGGTGGCTGGCACATTGAGAGGGATATGATGTCAGTCGTTTAGTGCCATCCACATCGAGAGAAGATATTCTGTATGGCTATGGGTGTGGAGATGGGTGTGTGACTGTGGATTAGTGTAGATGTGGGTGTGGAGATGGGTGTGTGACTGTGGATTAGTGTAGATGTGGATGTAGAGATGGGTGTGTGACTGTGGATTAGTGTAGATGTGGATGTGGAGATGATCATCTACTCGCGTACACCCATATCCAGCTCCACACATAGCCCCACACCGACACCCAAAACATCGCTGTAGAATTAGCGCTAAATCAAAGAATTAGCTTCAACACTTTTGAATATATTTTGAATATCTGATCCCATTCGCTCTTGATCTAGTTGTTTTCGCGAAGCGTTGGTTTACAATGCATCAAACATTATTCGATATTTACAAATTGGTCCACCAGCGTTCCACCGCTTCAAAAATTACAACAGTTGGCTGATAAGTTTTAATCAATTCTTCATCAAGTGGAGTACTGGCATTGCGTAACCCATAAATGAACTGCGTGTGCTCGAAGTGCTGTGATAAATAATCTCTGATTGCATCGAAATAAGAGTCACCAAAAACAAGCAACTTCTTCAGTTTTGGTCCAAAATTATGGCTGATATTCATTTTTGGCCTCATATGATGATCTAATATATAAGTGTGATCGAAAGCGACAAGGCCCATAATGTCTCCTTGCCATTTAAATTTTCGGTTTATGATAAAATGTTCAAGACGATATGGTGAAATGTTAGTGTATGAAACGCGCAATTTCTTTACTATTTCTTTATAGGCAAAAAAGCCTCCTATATTATTCCAATGACTATCAGTTTTGAAGTATGTATATACGTTAGCATATTGCTTTTTGGCTAGTAGTAAAGCTTCTTTCACATCAATCAAGGTGACGTTTGTATGTAACATTATGAGCTCGACAATTTGTGAAAGTCTGCTCGGACCACTTTTAGTCTTAAATCTCCAAGGTAAATATTCTGGATAAATTGAATGTTTGTCAGGACATGGAACGACAAGAAAAGTAATGTTAAGTTTTTCGAGCGATATCTGTATGGATTGCATATTATTCCTGATATTCGTTAATTGATTTTTTGAAAGAGGGATCCTACCCTGCCAGCCAGCAAATCCTAATCCATTAGCTTGTATCCGATTGTTTGCATTATACATGTGGTTACTGCCATCAAAAAAAAACCAATCATTTGTACCGGAAACGACATAAGGAACTCCTGTGATGCCGAAAATTTTAATATTTAGTGCTATATTTGCAGCTACGAATCTATTACGAAATCCGTAATGATCATTGTAGTACAGATTAAATTTTTTTATGAAACCACTGAAATCATGAAAGTCAGGATTGGGAAGGGGTGCCAACGTTCGCTTTTCCGTCGATTTGACATCGGAGATAACTGAAAATTG